TAGGGCATGAGCTCAGCTGCGTTGTTGATTAGTACAGAAATTTGTTTCTCATTATCAATAATATCATTGGCAAATTGACGTATAGAAGCAAAAGATGCAAGATCCAAGTGTTTGTAGGTAACATTGTTGTTACCGCTTTGCTGGCGAACCTGTTGAGCGGTTTGTAATCCACGCTGATCATCACGACAAGCCATGATAACGCGTGCTCCTCGTTTTGCCAGATCGATTGCCGTTTCCTTGCCGATGCCAGTATTGCAGCCGGTGATGATGATAGTTTTCTGATGCATCATCGCCTTACTGTTGCAATATCTACCAGCAAAGTATCGACGTAAGAAAAATAGGGAAACACCAATCGCGGCAGCAATACTACAAGTGGTGATGGCGAAGGTTGAATCTTTCATGACGATGATATCTAGTAATTCTGTTAATAGTGTAGATGGATAAAAAAATAAAAGTAAATACGCGCATACAGTAGTTTCGTGTGTTTTTAATTAACATTCATCATGCAGTAAATGTAAATTTGACCAAATGACTATTGAAATTGAAATGAGCTTGATCCAAGCATCCTGACGATGTTAACTGTTTAGTTCAAACTGTAAAGTTTGCTTTTATTTTAGACTTAGCTTACGGTTGTAATAAGATAATCTAGCAAAAATACAAGGGTTCTAAGGTTCATCCCTTTTAGTGCAATAAAATGAACCTCAAATCAAGCCTTATCCTTGTTTAACAACAGTTTGATTGCCGGTCCAATGGATACGGCTACTGATGGAAATGTAATTATGCTCACCACTTGAAATAGGGACAATTAATCCGTTTACATAGTAAAATTAAAATTCATCGAATGAATAAAATACCGCACCTTAGTTCCTTATATATACGTCCTGTACTATCCAAGCAAATTTCAGTAGCACTCCGATTATAGTGAATGCACACCAATTTTTGTGCCCAAGTTTAGTGAATTTTAATTCTTCCAATAGAGTAGACTTTGAAGAGTTCTTCGATGCCGGCCGGCTTAGACGAGTGCTTGGGCCAAATGTTTCTTATTTTTACTATGTGAAACGAGATATTAATTAACTCTATAGAATTGAGAGCGATTGATCACAAGGCTTATTAAGATCACCGTTTAACCTTGGGTTAAAAGCTTCAAGGCACAGTTGGAAGGAGGAAACTTTGATTCTCCTGTGCAGGTGCTGTACTGCTTTGAGGAAGATTAGAGATCCTCCACCAGTATGGCTGCCGTCCTATACTGCAACAACATGGCTTATAATAAGATGAAGGTACTAACTGAGACATCACATTAGTGGACGGATTGCTACTGTGACTGGTGTTATTAATGAATAATAATTAATTAAAGCAACGAAAGTGGACATTGGACACCGGACTAAATATAAAATAACATAATTATTCTAAGTACTCGTTCCTCTTTAGCTCATGCAGTTGATTACCAAATATCCAAAGTTGGAATAAGGAAAGTTAAACTACTACAGGAAAGTAAAATGATGAGTCTAATGTCAGGTTTAATAAATAAATTATAATCAAGCACCGAAAGTAAGCATTGTATAATAGCTGCTGTCGCTTAAGTGATTGATCAACGATAATCAACTTACCACGCTAAGGTATCAACGGAGCGAGGAGAAGGAGTAATCTGGAATTCATAATATCACAATCATGATATCATTCAATGTAAATACTTCGGCAATGATAATGATGTGGAGAGGCAAATTTCATTGAAAGAGAGTGCCATGACTATCGACTCTACAAGAATAAATAGCTACATATATCAATCTAAATTATACGCTTTCTTCCCTAAGGTATCAGTTAGCATAATGATATGATTGATACGATAAATTGACAACTAGTGTTACATCATTGCAATAGCCTAGCTGCTATGATAGTTATTTTGT